GATTTATTATTGATTTCATTTTTAAGTTTTTATTTATTTTTTAAGTTTTTAACTCTGTACTGTAGTAGTAGTCCTAAACGAGAATTTGTCATGTTGAAAAAACAATAAAATAAAGCAAATAATTTAAACATTCTTTTTTTTTAGAATAAAAAAAATATTTCTAACATGTATCGTAATATTTTTCACTAAAAATGCATTTCCTTTTTCATCGCTCTGTTGTGCCACGTCAAATTTTCAGTTTCCCTTTTCTATTCAACAAATGGTCGTGTTTAATTTTTTTAATAATTTACTTTGCCAAATAAAGGTATATTAAATTGAAATCTATTAAAAAACTTTTTTCTTTTTTTTGTAGAAAGAAAATCACAAATCGTTTTTTTTTTATCTTTCTTCGTTTGGACGGCCTTTATTTTCACGTAATTCATTTAAGTTCTATTTTGAACAGTTTTTTTGTCTATAGTGACAGAAATTTGAAGAAATTGTTTATTTCTGAGCCAAGGAAAACGGGAAGTTGAATGAAAAAAAATTAAAATCTATACGAAAATAGATATTTTCCGTTTCGCATAAAAATTTATCTCGGTTGTATGCATAATCAAAATTTAGATGTACGGTAGCTTATAAAGCGACAAAAATTAATGTTTCTACCTTCGCAGAGTTCTCTTTTTTTATAAAAAAAATAAAATCATTCATTTTACTAAATTTAATAATTGGGTAAAGTATTCTTAAACTATTGGTTATAAGGTTAAAAACATAATTCATTTTTATATATAAATACGAATTATTGCATTACCGGTGTTCCGTATTTATTTAATATTTAATTTTTCGCACACTTGTAGCGGTATTGACGACCTAAATCAACCCGTACATTTTTTTACTTTACGAATAATGTGTAAGCAAACGCAAAAAAGCAACAAGACAAACAACAAGAAGGAACACAAAACGTTTTTTTTTTTTAAAACAACAACAATATTTATATTTGTATAATGATGTACAAGCATAGGGGTTACTATTTTTGTTGGTGTTACGTCCCTTTGAATTAAAGTTTTTACTAATGAAATATTTTTATCCGAGCTCACAAAAGTTGAACTTGTCGCTCAAGATGTTTACTGTTAGAGAGTTAAAAGAATTATAAAGCTGAGAAGATGCTGAATAAAGTTTTAAAGTTGAATGTTGCATAATGTTTGTAATTAAGTTTCCGTTGCTTGTAGTTGAATATTCGTAGTTTGAAATGAAGTTTGAAAAGTTTCGTATGTTTGTAATTATATAGTTTGGAAAATTTCGTACGTACGTGTATGTGTGCGTATGTGAATATATTTTCATAGCATCTGACCGCACATGGTCAAGACACGAATCCTTTTTTACAACTACATTTTGTAGCAAGAGAAATCAAGGAAGAGAGAGAGAGAGAGAGAGAGAACGAACTCGTGTCTGGTATTTATAATCAACGTAATCACGTGACATTATCGAAAAAGCATTGACAGATTTTGGCGGAATTATTTATTGTCAGGTCAAGAACTAGGTCGATGTTATTCGGACATGATTTAAATACATAGAAATAGACCCTGAAGAAATTCCTGTCTCTTCTTTACTCATCTGCAAGAAGATTTTTTTTAAATTTCCTATGTGGCACAACTTTGCTAGGATAGAACCAACACTAATGACAATCTGATTTTGCCATCTCCGTGGTCAATCAACACAATGTGGGCAGAGCAATAGTTTAGACCAGAATGACCAAATTAATGGCAAGCAGCATCATTTGTCCAGACTAGCAGAAAAGTGTTGTAAAATTGCATTTCCAGACCAAAAACAGCCAAGTCATCTAACCTTTGCTACTGTTTATCATCACATTACTGAAATAGAATCTGTGGCATTACAAACTATGAATCAAGGAAGACCAATTGTACACGTAATAGCATCAACTGTAAAGTTTAAACTCAATATCTCAAAAACAAAGGATTTGTTGGCACATGTTTATATGGACTTTTTTCCTTGTTTTGGTGTGAGGAACCTGCACCCAAAGTTTGCAAACATATTTTTGATACACCCTGTATACATACACAGGGTGTATCAAAAATATGTTTCAATGATGAAATTGAATTGCATATTTAAATTCCACTAATTGAAAAATGCTGCAAACTTTGCTTCCAGCACAATATTCCAGATAGATTACTTCATTTTTTCTATTTTTCGATTTAGTAAGATGTTCATCAAATACAAAAGTGGTCTTCAGAAACAACATATCACACTTTATTCATTTTCTTTATTTATTATCAAATAAGTTGTTGTTTCACATTGAATTCCCATTTCAATACTATAATGATTTATGAAATAAAAGGGAAAAATGATTTTATGTAATTAATGCTAAAATATGCCATAGGATTCTTTAAATTGTGAAATTATATTAGTTTCTCTGACAGATTAATTCATTTTCTATGTCTTATCAACTCTCTCCAGGATATTTAAAACCAGAAAATATTTTTTTAGATGGTTAGAATTTTTTTTTTTAAGATAATAATAGCTTAGTGATACTAGTCTTACTAATTAATTTATAGCTGGGGGAGCGAATAGGTGGATTCATATCTTTTCTAAAGGTATTTGTGCCTAAGTGTATATTAGAAACACAACAGAGATTGGAACTTGGCTCTCCGATTAACAATTCTGAACCATTATCCATTATACTACCCACACATCAAAGCTTACAGCACCTGGTATTTCCATGAGGTCACACATCTAGGTACTGACCAGATTCAGTGTTCCAAACGTTGCATACAGAAATCTCTGCTCTGAATCACAAACTTTTTTGAAAAATAAAGAAAGATTGTTTTTATTTCTTTTAGTGAAGCTTGTTAATATCCACTTTTGAAAGAAGTGTCTTTGAGGCTTGCTTCCTTTTCATCCATGGTTACCTGTCTGCTATGAAGATTAAGCACTTTTGGTTTACTTGTAGATGTGTGGAACTATTCACTTCATGCAACCAAATGTTATGGTTCCTTTATTCTCCAGAATTATACATCGTTAAAGAAAGAAATCTTTCAACATTTAATGTTTATATAAATAATTGGCAATTCATTATTGTAGCATAAAATAAGCAAACCTGTCTTCAAATGTACTGATATCCAAAAAAATTAAAACAATATAGAATTTGAAATGATTGCATTTAGTCTCAGAGGTCTTTATGCAGATAGAAGTATTTTTATATTGGACAAACTTTAATGGTTCTGTAATCTTGTTTCACAGTCTATCAGCCAACTGTAATGAATTTGATCTTCATTGGCTGTTGTATTATTGTATACTTGTGCAGGCCTAAATCAGCCTTATTATATAATTACATGTCTCTAGTATGGATTGATTTCATCTGTTATTCACTATCTCTGTTAATATATCATTTCTTTCTTTTCATTTGCAGATGTTTCCGCTATACAAAGCATCATGGTATAGAGGAAATTGTTACTGTGGATTTCAATGAAAGAAAACAGGATTCATTCTTTCCACCAAGAACAGAGAAATGCATACACACACTGTTGAGAAGTCACCATCTTTGGAAGATTCTGATTCTGCATTTCCAAGCAAGTCACATTTATCTAGTAATATACCTACACAGACTGATAAGAAACCATATTCTTGTGAAATATGTGGATCTGCATTTTCACAGAAATCAAATTTGGTTTGCCATATGCGAAGACACGCTGGAGAGAAACCATATTCTTGTGAAGTGTGTAGTTCTGCATTTTCACAGGAAGTCACATTTGATAAGTCATATGCCAATTCACACTGGAGAGAAACCATATTCATGTGAAGTTTTTGGAACTGCATTTTCACAGAAGTCATCTGTGATAAGCCATATGAGTACACACACTGGAAAGAAACCTTATCCTTGTGAAGTTTGTGGAACTGCATTTTCATCAAAGTCATACTTAGTGAAACATATTCGATCACACACTGGAGAGAAGCCATATTCTTGAGAAGTGTGTGGATCGGCATTTTCACAGAAACCATTTCTGGTGTGTCATATGCTAATACACACTGGAGAGAAACCATATTTGTGTGAGGTTTGTAAATCTGCATTTTCACAGTCATCAGCTCTGGTAAAGCATATGCGCACACACACTGGAGAGAAACCATATTCTTGTAAAGTTTGCGGATTTGCATTTTCACAGAAATGAAATTTGGTGTGCCATATGCGAAGACACACGGGTGAGAAACAATATTCTTGTGAAGTTTGTGGATCTGCATTTTCATGGAAATCAGGCTTGATACAGCATATGCATAGGCACACAGGAGGAAGACCACATTCTTGTGCAATTTGTGGATCTGCATTTTCACGGAAGTCACATTTGAAGAGACATATTCATTCACACACTGGAGAAAAACCATATTTTTGTGACATTTGTGGATCTGCTTTTTCAAGGAAGTCAAGTTTGTTTTCGTCATTTGCAAATCCACACTAGATAGAAATTGTATCATTGTCCAATTTGTCTACATGCATTTGTGGGTATATGTTTTCATAGTTATCTATACCCTATATGGAATGACATATTCTTTTAAAATCTGTAACGGAATATTTTCAAATACTTCAAATTTGAATTAACGTTTACGAGTAAGCACTGGAGAGAAATCCCATTTTTGTGACATGTTAATGTGAATTTTCAACAAATTCGAAGCTGGAAAGGCATGCATGTGCAAACAGTACCTTAGATATGTGAATTGGTAATAAGCATGCAAGTATAAAAACTGTATTATCAGGTTTATGCGTCAGCTTTGTAACGAAATATAAGTATGACAAATCACAAGCTAAATTTAAGAATCTGCATTTTCATTAAAATTTGCATTGTAAACTCAAGAGAAAATGTATATTAATTTTATGCATGTTAATCAAAACTTTGTGCATATAAATCAGGTCAATTCAATGTCTGAAAATTTAGGCTGCATTGTTTGATTAATGAATTAGGTATGAATTTTGTATCTATAAATGAAATAAACTCATCTTCAGAGTCTTTAAAAAAATGTTTTTTATGTCATGTATGATATATGACATTTTTTTCATTTAAGTACTTTTCATGTCCACAACTAACATTTCAAGCATAATGACATGTTTGTGATAATGGAGGGAGCAGCAAAGACTGGAAAAACAAAGAGATGGAAGAAAAGAAAATATATTGTGAGAAACAAGTATCTCCAACAAAAATATATATCAATAGCATTTGATAAGGTTCAGAATGCTGGTCTACTTCACAAGTTGTAATCTTGGTATTTCTGGATGAATTTTTCATCCGATATCAATCTTTCTTTTCAAATCAGAAAATGAAAGTTATCTTCAACAGCTAATCTTTTAGATCTCCTTGCATCAATGTAGGTGTCCTTGAACCTACATTGTCCCAAATTTTCATCAATGTCATTAGTTCTCAACTCAGGATCTATGCTGATGACACAGCTATTTACTTCCATCCTAATCATAAATCTGATCAGTTTGATAAAGTCAAATTTGTTGCTGATTAAAATAATTTCCTACAATCTGTTGTTAACTGAGGCAAGAAATAGCTCATTAATTTTAACACCTTCAAAACAAAACTGTTCTCTTTTAATAAACTTAGAGAATGTTTTTTTTTGCCTTCCATCAGCATGGCTGATGCTAATCTTCAGAAGAATGACTCCTTGTGCCTACTCAGCTAACATTTTCTGATGATATTGAATCACTTGCTAAGTCTGCTACTAGGAAATTTGGTTCAATGTGTCATGCTAGGTAATTTTTCTTGTCAGAATCTATTTCTTACATTTAGAAGTCTACCATTCTTCCATGTATTGAATATCATTGCCATATCAGGTCTCGTGCTTCTGCTATCTATTCTTGATGAAATACAAAGAAGAATATGCAATATTATTGGTCCTGGTCTGGTATCTCAGCTTTAGTTACTTTTCCACTGCCATAACATAGCATCACTATGTATTTTCTATAAATGTTTCCATGGTAATTATTCTGATGAGCTTTCCTCCTTGGTACCTAGAGTTTATGAATTTAAGTGTACTACTAGACTGGCAGCAAGGCCTCATCATTTTACAGTTTAAATGGCCAGATCTAACTGTAAGTTCTATACTAACAGTTTCTTCTCTTGCAGTTGTCACTTGTGGAACTTTCCTCCTTCTTTGTGCTTTTTGTTAACATTATCATTTCAAAATGTAAATTCAGTGTCAGTTGTTAACATCTGTTTTCTTAATTCTTGTCCTTTTTTATTGTTCTCTTTCTTTAATGATTTCTTTTTCTCATATTCTCTCACACTCACAATATAATCATCAAGTAATTTTTACAGATTTTTTCCCCCATAGAAAAAATCAGTTAAATTTCCCAAGCATCAGGCTTTCAATAGTCAACACACATAAAAAAAAAAAACACCTGTGTTAAAAAAAATGTTTTTCTGTAATATTAAATAATATTTATTACAAATCAGGTTAATTAAACGTTAAACCAGTTAATTTTCCTCAAAATTTCAGAAAATTATATTTTATTTTTGGAGGCTTTTTAAATAGAGTTATCAAGTTTCTGGGGCATTTTTTTCATCATGATATGCTTTTTTTAGCGATTTTGTGGAGGTACCTAAAAATATTTCAAATGTGTTTTTAGTTTCTTTTTTTTTTGTTTTTAGAAAAAATTTTGTTTGTTAAAAAAAAAATAGAAAAAAATAAATAAAACCAAAACGCAAATATTTCCGATTCTATCTTTAATTATAAATAATATTTATTTTAGATTATTTTTTTTTTTAATTTTCCTTTCGAGTTCTACAACCGTAACTTTTTTGTTAATGTTACTTAAACATTTTTTTCCCCGACAAGGAATTTGATTTGGAGATACCTCCAAGAAACAATGTAGGCAAGATTGTCTTCGACGTGAAGAGGCATTGCATGAAATTGTCAAGGTTGCGATATTTATACTTAGACAGCAGTTTGTCAACAAAATTCTGGTAAATGGAAAATCTCTGTGGCAGTGAAAATACGTGATACATTTCTTTTTGAGTCTGTGCTGTCTAGATGCCAAGAAAACTGAGAATTTTCAACTCAAGGAACCAAATCGTGTTTGACACCGGGTCATTTCTTCCGTCTTTTTACATTAATAATATTATCAAGAGAATTCTTTTCTTAAAAGACATTTTCCCCATTTGTCTCTTGTTCCCGTTTCTATAATTCGTTTCAATTGCAACATCATTACATTTACTTTACTGAACAGAGAAATACCAACTAAATCATTTGAATACAAAGAAATCATTCCGTTTTGTTTTTCTTGTCTGAAGAAAGGTAAGTGGAAAAATATAAATTGTTTTTGAAAAAGAAAAAAGAAAAAAAATCGTTATTTACCGACATCTTTTGTTTTTCCGACTTCATTTGTTTTGCGAGCATTATCATAAAAACCCAAGAAATAAATTCAGTTCTGATTTTCTCCTCAAATATTTTAAAGAAATATTTTGAAATAAACTGGACTAAAAAGAAATTGGATTTTTTAATTAATTTTTTTAAGAATTTATTTTTTTAATTAGGCTTAAACGATAATTTGTCAAGTTGAAAAAACAATATCCAACCTCGTATAAACATCGCTTTTTATTAAAAAAAAAAGAACCTTCCCAATTACTTTTTAATTTTAGAGTTGCGATTAATTTGAATATATTTTGAGCTTGTTCTGATCACAATATTTCACGGTAATGATTTTTAGGTACAAAGAACTTTTTTCTGTACGGAAAGAAATGGATTTTATTTCGCTTTTTAATTTTTTTTTGTTTCTTTTCGTAAATTTTTTTTTACCAATATAACATGTCTCTAAACAAGTGAAATATTCGAGCCTTTTTTTTTTATTAATTCCTTCCATGTTACTTTTTTAATGTTAGAGACTCAATTAAAGAGTAAAGACGAAAGATTACGGAATAAAAAAATAAAGTTATTTTTAGCTTTATATAGTTAAATAAAAGATCACTTTACTGAAATGTTTTTCGGCAAAAACATTTGTTTTTTGTGTTTTTTTGTTTGTTTATCTATTACATTCGTCTCCCCTATTGACCTGTACGTGATCAATTCCGTTAAGCACCACAAATTCGCTAAAAATGAGCATCTGCAATTCTGCATAGATGAAAAAATGCACCAAACTTATTTAAAAACAAAAGTTTATCGTCGAAACCTTTGTTATTATTAAAGAGAAAAGACCAAAGTATTTTTAATTATTAAATTATATTTTTTTTATCCTTTTTAGAACTTCGAAATTGTGCTTATTTTTTATTTAATTTTGTTTTTTTTTTTGTGTGTGTGTGTGTGTCAAAAGGGTCCACAGATGAGGAAATTTAGTATCTTTTTGAATTGGAAATTCTTGCAAAAATCAAATAAATGTCGAATTTTAATGAAACTATCTAGGCTTATTCACAAATGAATTAAAAATTATTTTACAAATATTTCTCATTTAGAAAATCTTGGTAAAAACATTTTTTGACATCTGTTACCTGTCACACACACGTGCGCTTATTTAATTTTTAAGAAATTTTGAGAAATTAGCCTTTGTTCCACTTACATTTATTAGTTATATGCAGAGCTCCTTGGAGAGTTTTTATATCTATTTTTTTCTAAAACAAGACGCCCAGTTACCGAAAATCTGCTGTGAATTGTAAAATGAAACATGCAATAAAACTAAGACATTAATTCAGTTAGAAAAGCGTTTAATTACTTTTAGTTTTATGAATAAGATATGGGCACTATTGTAGGGCTTAAGCTTAATTCTTATATAGACCTTCCCTATCTGTATTATTTGTACCATTTAGATGATATTGGTATTATTAAGTAAAAACTATATTTACTAATCATAAAGGAAAAGCTTACTACAATTCAGCAACCTCCAATATTTTAAAGACAATTTTTAAATTTGTTATGTGTATAAACGTGCTGATTTTTGTAACTACGGGTGTCCATACAGGACATTACCAAAAAATAACACTGATAACTATAGTAAATTTACTGTGAAAGTACTTACAAATTGAATATTTTAAACTAAAAGTAAGTAATATTTTTTTTAAAATCAGATTAATTAAGCTTTAAATCAGCTAATATAACTCAAAGTTTCAGAAAAGTATTTTATTTTTGAAAGTTTTTTTTTGATAAAGAGAAGTACATTGTGCTGATACATGGCTAAAAATGATGTTAAAATTTGCTTACTGGAAATATTAAATTTAATCTATTAGCTTAAAATTAAAACTACAATAAAAGTTTCAAGATAGATTTTATATTTTTGAAAATTCATTTTAAACTGCTCTCTAAATTGTACAATAAATGCTTGGGTTCCAGCTTGTTGGAAATCATCCTCTTGTTTTAGTCCTTAAGAATTCAGGTAAACCATCTTATCTTTCTAACTATCAGCCTTCAACCTCTTTTTGGCAAATTTCGGGAGGACTTAGCTCAAGATTGGTTAAGCATCTCACAAGCACAGGCAAGCAATATGGCTTTCACTTCTCTAGGCCAACTATGTATTAAAGATTATTGCTGAAAGAGTTTATCATGCTTTAGATAAGAATGTTGAAGGTTGGGTTGTTGCTTTTGATATCTCAAAAGTGTTCAGCTGGGTTTGACATACAGGTTTTCTTCATAAGTTGAAAAGTTATGGTATTTCTTGATAAATTTTTGAACTGATTCAGTTTTTCTTATCAATTGTGAAATGAAAGTTATCCTGAATAGTCACTCTTCTACTTTGTCCTTAATTTTCATCAATAATTTCTGAAATTTGTATCAATGCTGGTTAACAACCCCTTACTCTTGTCTTGATAATAAATCTGAAAAGTTCAGTAAGGTCAAATTGGCTGCTAATCTAAAAAATGACTGCTCTCTCTTAATCATGTGAGAAATCCCTTCCTGCCTTCCATCAGCATGGCTGATACTAATTTTGAGGATGATGATTTCTTTCATGTTCTCAGGCTCAGACTAACATTCTCGGCTGATATGAAATGGAAAGATTATATTGAATCCATTGCTAGGTCAGCTGCTAAGAAAGTTTGTTCACTGTGTTGTACAAGGTAATTTTTCTCTCCAGAATCTTAGATATCTATGTCTACCATTTGTCTATGCATTGAATATTGCTACTACATATTGTTCAGTACTGGTATATACAAGGTGCAATGGGTAACTTGTTACCATTTTATATTTTTAATATTGCTCATGTGTGTCGTTTTTGATTTTGTCAACTGCACAGTATAGTAGGGTCAGTTGGGCACTGTGAGAAAAAGAGCACCATGACACAATTCACTCCACCAGAAATTTGGAAACGGCATGCTGTACTGCTTGGCATTTGCACCAGATGTTCCAATATGAAAATTTCAGAGTGTTTGAGTGTTGATATGAGGACAGTGTAGAGGATGCTTTGTCCCCCAAAAAATGTCCCAAGAGTGATGAAAACCAAATATTCATTGAACTTCATGGTGTTTGAAGTGATCAGTAGTGATTGTGATGTTATGCCTCAATTTATCTTCCAACAGAGCCTCACTCAACACAGAGGCCTACATCAAGAGCCTTGAGGAGGGAGTGCTGCACTGGGTCAAGAGGGTGACTGCTGGAAGACCCTGTGGTAACAGAACTCTGCACTATGCCAAAATTTCTGTGACCACATAATCCCTTAAGTCTGGCTACCTAACTCCCCAGACTGCAACCATTTTAATTATTGTGTGTCAGGCACAGTTGAGTGAGAGTACTATGCTGTTTTTTCTTGCACTTCCCACTTGTAGAAGTCTCTTCTCACTCCATACTTTTCAATCAACTTTGATTTTCAAAAATTTAAATGCAATGTCAATCATTATATACTGTTTTCTTGATTTCTCTTACCATTCTCACTCCTTAATAAGGTTTCTCTTTTTTTTTCTTATTATTTTACACTCAGAGTGTAAAATAATGGCTTACCTGCCTTGCACGAGAGGAAATGATTAAAAAAATATATATATATATATATATATATATATATATATATAAATATAAATGATTGCATTTAGTCTTATAGGTCTTTGTGCAGATAGAAGTATTTCTATATTGGACAAAGTTTAATGGTTATCCAATCTTGTTTCACAGACTGTCAGTCAACTGTAATGAATTTGATCTTCATTGGCTGCTGCATTATTATGTCCTTGTGCTAGTCTATATCAGCCTTATATAATTACATGTCTCTAGTATGGATTGATTTTATATCATTCACTATCTCTATTAATATATCTTTTCTTGCTTTTCATTCACAGATGTTTCAGCTGTACAAAACATCATGATATTGAGGAAATTGTGATTGTAGATTTACATGAAAGAAAACAAAATTAATCTCTTTCCATTGAGGACAAAGAACTATATGCAACAATCTTCATGTAAAAGATATACATCTACACTTTCCAAAGCATCACATTGAAAATTAAGATGAAGAGGATATTCAGTTTTGAAATCTGTGGTTTCCTGAAGAGACATGGTATTATATATGAGTAAACATTAGAAAGAAGATATATTTTCATGTACTTTGAGAATCTTTGTTGTGGACTGTGATTTAATTTTAAATGAAATTGTTGTGAGGACACAGGATTTAGTCACAGTAAACCTATTCTTGTGAACTTTGGAAATCTTTTGTGAAAATTAGGTTTAGTATACCATAAAGAAATGTACTACAGAGAATGTATTTTTCAAGAATATGTGAGTCTTCCTTTATGAAAATATCATTTTTGATGGAATATATGTATAAACACACTGGCAAAGAATTGTCATCTTCTTAGGATTTTAGAACTACATTTTCAGTCAAGTCACATTTGTCTAGCAATATGCATGCAAAAACTAGTGAGAAACCTTACTCTTGTGAACTTTGTGGATCTGCATTTTTATGGCAGTCAGACTTGGTTCGGCATATGCGTATGCACACAGGAGAGAAACCATATTCTTGTGAAATATGTGGATCTGCATTTTCACAGAAAACACATTTAGTGGGCCATATGCGAAGACACACTGGAGAGAAACCATATTCTTGTGAAGTTTGTAAATTTTCATTTTCACACAAGTCATCATTAGTGAAACATATACGTACACACACTGGGGATAAACCATATTCTTGTGAAATATGTGAATCTGCATTTTCACGCAAGTCATATTTGGTGAACCATATGTATAAACACACTGGAAAGAAGCCATATTCTTGTGAAGTTTGTGAATGTTCGTTTACAGAGAAGTCTGGATTAGAGAAACATGTTCGTACACACACTGGAGAGAAACCATATCCTTGTGAAATATGTGGAGCTGCATTTTCGCGTAAATCAAGTTTAGTGAATCATATGACTATACATACTGGAGAGAAACCATATCCTTGTGAAGTTTGTGGCAATGCATTTTCACAGAAGTCAACTTTAGTTAGCCATATGAGTACACACACTGGAGAAAAACCATATTCTTGTCAATTTTGTGGTTCTGCATTTTCATGGAAGTCATCTTTGGTGAGCCATATCAGTACACACACTGGAGAGAAACCACATTCTTGTAAAGTTTGTGGAGCTGCATTCTCATGGAAGTCATCTTTGGCAACTCATATGCGTACACATACTGGAGAGAAATGCTATTCTTGTGAAGTGTGTGGAACTGCATTTTCATCAAAATCATACTTGGAAAAACATATTCGATCACACACTGGAGAGAAGCCATATTCTTGTGAAGTGTGTGGATCGGCATTTTCACAGAAATCATTTCTGGTATGTCATATGCTAATACACACTGGAGAGAAACCATATTCTTGTGAGGTTTGTAAATCTGCATTTTCACAGTCATCAGCTCTGGTAAAGCATATGCGCACACACACTGGAGAGAAACCATATTCTTGCAAAGTTTGTGGATCAGCATTTTCACAGAAATCAACTTTGGTTTGCCATATGCGAAGACACAATGGAGAAAACCAAGATTCTTGAGAAGTTTGTAGATATGCATTTTCAGCAAAGTCAATTTTGGTGTGCCATTTGTAAATCCACACTGGATATATATCATATTCTTGTGCAATTTGTGTATCTGCATTTATGGAAAATTATATTTTAGTTCATCATGTGAAAACTAAAATATAATATATTCTTTGAAAGTTTGTGTATATACATTTTTACGGTAGTCATATTTAGTATCCCATATGGGATAACATGCTGGAGAAAATTCATATTCTTTTCAAATCTGTAATACAATGTTTTCAAATACTTCAAATTTGAGTTGATATGTATGATGACTAAGCATGAGAGAGAAATCATTTTTGTCTATCTGAATTTTCTAAGAATTCAAAGCTGAAAAGGCCTGTGCGAATATTCCCTGGTTATCAACTTTAGACATGTGAATCAGCATTTTTTCCAAATTCACATTCTGACATAAAAACTGTATCATCAGATTTATGCATCTGCTTTGTAACTGAATATAAAAGACATCTTTGAAATCACAAACTAAAATTTAAAGAATCTGCAATTCTATTAAAATTTACATTGTAAACCCAAGAGAAAATGTATATTAATTTTATATATGTCAGTCAAGTGTTTATGCATACAAATCAGGACAATTCAATGGCTGAAAATTTAGGCTCCATTGTTTGATTATTGAATTAAGAATTAATTAAGAATTAATTAATCCATGAATAAAATATCTTTAATTTCAGTAATCACATAAGGATTTTGATTACTTTCTTATAAATATATTATGCACATTCCTTTTCAGGATCTTTAATAAAATGTATTTTCTATCAAGTCTGATGTGATATTGTTTTTATTGAACTAGTTTTCTTAATGTTAACAGTTATGATTTCAAGCATTTTAATAAGATATATATCTTCAGAGTCAATGTTATTTTTCTTTAAGTTTAATGGGTTAGTTGAATAGCATATTGATTTCCTACTGCATATAAGAAAAATGAACGTGATTTTTAATTGTTATTAGAGACATTAACTTAGAGCATTTTAAAAATGAAGTAAAATTCTGTGTCTAACTTAATTGGTATCATGTATCTGTAAGTGCATTTCTGACAATGTATATGCAGGTATGTTTATTTGCTCTGTGTTTACTTTATTTATTGATGTCCATCTTGACTCTTTAGATGATTGGGAGGTCAGGTATAAAACACCCTCCCCATTTTATTTCTACCTCATGTCATTAATATTCACATGGTAAATCAAGAAATTTTCTCTGCCTTCTCTACTATCATTTAATTGCTGTTGTGTTTTACATAAATGGTGGAAGGTTATAATTATTAAAATTTTAAAAATTGTGTAACTCCCCAACCCACCCACATTTTTCAACCTCATCATTAAAATTCCATGATAGTAAACAACGTATGTTGTGAATACATTTTACATAAATAAATGTCATTATATGTATCGACATGCATTTATATGTTTATTTGCTTTGTCTGCCTTTGAGGTATTTATTACTGGTCATATTGAATTTTTACATTATGCAAAGGTCAGGCATAGAACACTCTCCCAATTTTATATCTTGTATGATTGATGTCACAATCACCAGCTAAAACAAGCAATTTTCTCTGCCTTCCCTACTGTCATTTAACTATTACTTACGTCTTAGATAAATGGTAGCAGTTAGAAATAATTAAAATTTTGAAAATTGACACCTCTCCTCATTGCATTTATTTGAATCCTATTTTGTGAATACATTTTAATTACTTCTTGATACTATTTCCTTTAGATGAACACTTTCTTTATGCAAACTTTGGAAACTGCAAGACTCTCACTGGTTACCATCCTCATTTCACTGGCAAGAATAAAGCTTTCTGATTTGCGTCTACAAGTGGGCAAGTTAGATCTTGTCTCTTCAATAATCACCATTGTGTATATGTGTATTTTTGATGCAGTCATGTCATTTATGTAAGTTATTTGTATCACTTATTGTAGTCTCTAATGTTAACAGGTTATCACATGATAGTTAAGCAATGTCAAGCCTGGTCAGTACCTGGATGGGTAACCACTTAGGAACTTGTAAGAAATTTATTTTTTATTTTTCTGTGTACCAAGCAAAAAACTTTATTTGTTATATTTTTGTCTTTTAATGGAAACCTTGATAAGAAAACTTGTGTTTTCCATGGGTTCACTTGGTGTTTTCAACAACCAAACTCCTTTATTGTTGAACATTGTTTATCTTGCCTTTTTCTTTCCTGACTGACAAAATTTATATTATGGATTATCAATTGCCTGAATTGTGTGACTTTTCTTGTCTCTGTCCTTTATTCTTTATGCAAGTACTTAATCTTTAGAAAGTTGTCTCATTGTCATCCAACCTTCACAAGTTCACCAATGATAACATCAGAGTTCTTCTTGACATGTGGTATGAATCAATCGAGGTGTGTAAATGGCTCGTCAGATTGTAAAAGAAAGAAAGGATACCAGGATGATTCTTGGGTAGTTGACCTTCTCTCACTCTTCAACTGTTATGAAGAAAGGTCTGTAAATGAGACAATTTCATAAACATTTTGGTGTTGTTGTTGATGGTGTAATGGGTAGGTCTGTGCTTGGCATTTTGTGCAGTTCTCATTGATTGCATCAGAGAACTGAGCCATCAGGTGTTCTGATTACATATGATCTGGGTTCTAGTGCTGGTTTTAACACTGGCTTCCTTCTGCCTGCTAGTCTCTTGGTTTCTGGTCAGGATGGGCTGGTAAGGAAGAAGCCTGGAAAATTCCTCTCCAGTTGAGTTTGTCAGAGTGTAGATTTTGCAGGACTTGCCTTTTTTACAGCTATTTTTTGACGTCTTTTCTGCCTGGGTCTCTGTTTCTGATTTTTATAAGCTGGTTAGATTTCATTTTTCTCATGTTGAGGAGTTCTGATGGTGAAGGCAGATGACTGTCAATTGGCATTGAGCAGTGCCATATCTGGTTCACTGTTAGACATTTTTGCCTACTGAAGAGGAGTTCTCATTTAGATTTGTTTTTTTTGATAAATCTGTTTGATTGATGGTGTTCAGGGCTTGAAGTAACATGGGAAAAGCCCCATTATCTAGAGAATTCCCTGAATGTAGAAGATGAAAATGTTTTCCTGGTATCCCCTGTTCTGAAAAGATTATCTTCAGAGCCTTGGCTCCCAGTCCTGTTATTCTTTCTTACAAATTGGAATTTGGAGTAGTAGTCATATACGATTAAGAATTTCTGGTATATGTGAAATGATTTGACAGATTGCTCAATATCATCACTAACGCCACACCAAGACAGGTACATTTTCGCTCTTTGTCTTCTGGATCCCTTGGTGAGCTTCATGATGCTTTGCAAGAATTTCCTGCTTCATACTGGAAAGATTAATGATGCATTTACCATTTAGTAGTAGACCATCTTCTATTGACAGCTCATGTGAGACTGGCTTTTATCATTCTGGTTAGCCCTTGAGAATCTCTTTCAGAATTTGTAAGGTTTTGTCCTTATTGGTTTCAGTTGCTGCTTGAGAATTTTGTTCATATCAACTCGTATATGAAGATCAATTGTTTTGAAGTCCTTGCCAGGTGATCTTGAGAGAGTGCTACTTCCATTGTGTTCCCAGGCCTATAAATAATTTTCATATTGTATTCTGAGAATCATTCACTGAAGCTATTGCAACACAGCAGACAAGTTTTTTTTTAAATGAATCATTTCTAAGGCTTTGTGTTCAGGCTCCACTACAAATTGTTTGCAAAACAGGTATATATGAAAGTGTTCAGAGCCAAATACCACAGCAAGCATTTCCCTCTCAATATTCACATAGTGCTGTACTGTATTGCTTAGTGACTTTGATGCAAATGCAATGGGTTTATTGTTTTGGAGCAGTTCTGATCCTATTCCTTTTGTGGATGCATCAACCCATACGATGTTTTTAAGTTTTGGGTCAAAGAATGTGAGCATGATCTCACTGCAGATGAGGTCCTTAATTTTTATGATGCTGCTTGGTAGGAGAGGGACCTCATGAGGTCTGCATCTTTTTCAGTAGTTTTTTCAGAGGTACTGTCTGTTGTGACAGCTGGGGTATGAATGGTGCCATATATGTAGCGATCACTAAGAATTTCTGGTATTGTTTTGCATTTCTGGGGTCCTCAATTTCTCCAATGGCCTTGACTGCCAGCATTGAGCACAAGTGCAAAGAATTTTCTTGTCAAATAGACACCAATGCCAGCGGAGATGCCAATTGTGCCTGTGCAGTTTTTGAGTATCCTGTCTGTGTACTACTGGAAAACATCTTGGTTGAGGTTGAGACTGAATGGTTGTTTCAGAAATTTGTACTTTCCAAAGACACTGTTGAAGGTCACGAGACTGCTTGATTCCTTGTCCAGAGCAATAGACCAAAACTTGGAACATAATTTTTGCCCCTGAAAATTTGTGGCTGATTTTCTCTTAGTTGGATATTCTGTAGTGGGGTTGTTGGTTTTATTGTGGTCCTTTGGGTCAAGGCAAACTCTGAGTTTTCCATTGGATTTGTGACTGTATACTATGTGTAACACCCAGTCTGTGGGTTCCCTTTTCAGATGACTTTGAGCCTCTCCATCTCATTACGCATGGCACATCTATTCAGAGGGTGTATTACTGGGGTTGCACATCTGGGTCAACTGTGATGGGACATTTTCCCTAGAAACAGCCAGGATAGATTGACAGAAGGTCCTCCTAATTGTTGATGGATGGAGTTGTTGGCGTTCTAATTCCACAGTTGAGGGTCACCAGCTCAAATTGTCATGAAGTTGGTTGTCCAATGATTACTGGGCCTTCTCAAGCAATTACGAAGAATTCAGCAAAGCAGTTATTGCCACTGTATCTGCATGGGATTGTTATAATGCAACCAAACAAGCTACCAACAACCCCCAATGAACCCCTTCAACTAGCTAAGTCCCAGATATCACACTATCATACAAGATCAGGAAGAAAAGTGCGATGAGTACTTGAGGGAGTGATAATGTGCCTGCAGTCATGGAACCACCCTATTCTCAAGCAAGACAACTTGCAAACAAAATTATCAAAGACCTGTCATCAATTGAACTAGTACAATTACAAAACAACTACTACTACCCATCCCCAGCCTCTAAATAGTGCCAAGAAGACTATCTCCATATAATAATTCTTCCACACCTAAATCTTAAGTATTAATCCATTGGCTAATAGAAAGATCTTCCACAAATCTTGACTTGTGTATCCTCCATATCATTACAAGGTTCTTTTCAAATGTCAGTGTGTAAGTTGATTTACAGACACATAGCAATGAGAAAGTGCCTGATTCATATTATCACAGATTGCCTAATTGCACTGATGATGTGCATGTTGCAGAGGCCTCATCTGCAAAACCCTGTATTTTCTTTCAGTATATTTGCAAGTCACTAGTCATTGCTTTTGAATTATTTCCCAAGAATATTTTGTTTTTTATTTCGTTTGCCTTCTAAGTGCAATTCACACAAGAATGATGAGTGGCAACAGTAATCTGTTTGGAGGCTTCCAAGACCAACACTATTTCTGCCCTTGTTGTTGTGGTAATTTACAGTGTATATATTTTAATTGTTCTTTGCTTTGAGTTTTGTATCAATTTTTTTTTTATGTAAACACATTTAATTATTTAAAATAAAACATTTCATCAATTTTGTCATCTTGTTATTTATAAGTTATTCATTTTTCTTAAATGAAAAGATTTTTCACATAATAATCTTTACTTATTTGCCTTTTGAATATAAAGAAGCTGAGAATGTACAAGCAGGTTATGAAATGATTCATGAGAAATTTCCTTGATCATGACTGGCTAAAAAGTGAGTTGACAATATGACATTACACATGGTGGATTCTTGCATCATTTTAGGCTTTACTGAGTAACAATTTCTACTTTCTGATATATTTTCATGAATAAACTATCTAGAAATTCAGTTTTACACCTGGTAGCCTGCGTAAGCACTAACTGATCACCACCTCCCTGCTGATGATACTAAAATAAAAAACCTAAAGAAATAAAAACCAAAGCAATCTCTCTACTGCAATATGAAAACCCCCAGTGACTCCATTTACAATTGCAATTAAGAAGTATAAATTTTTTGAACATATCAGGGATTCAAAATGGAACACATGCTGGAACGTAGAAATGACAGCAGCAAAAGAATCACCATGAAGAATGAAAGATAAGTGGATGACAAATGAAATTCTAAGTCTAATGTAGGAGAGATGAGATTGCACTGTTTTTTTTTTTGTAAGACTAAAAAAGTTCATCAGAAAGATATGCTAACAGACAAGACATGAATGGCTAAATTCAAATTTTGCTGAGATTGAAAAAAAGATGTTACTGTTTGGCTTAAAAAGATCAAAGAAATTGGAAAATAGAAAATATGTTCTTTGACACGATGAAACATTTGTGCTAATGAATGGAGCAACAAGTACTGGAGAGACAAAGAAATGGAGCAAAAGAAAATATATTTCTAGAAACAAGGATCTCCAACAAAAATATACCTCAAAGGTATTTGACAGTTCAGCTGATCTATTTAACAAGTTGCTGGACACATTTTTCATCTAATATCACCCTTTCTTATCAAATCAGAAAAAAATTGTCTTCAGCAGCTACTCTTCTACATCTTTTTGCATTAATACAAGCATTCCCTAGGGCTCTAACCTTTGACCTATGTTGTTCCTAATTTTCATCAATGACTTTCCTGATGGCTTCAATTCTAAACACAGTATCTATGCTGATGATGCAACTATTTAATCCTGTTTTAATCATAAGTCTGATCAGTTGCTAGCTGATGTTAAAAATTATTTACAATCTGTTGTTAACTGGAGCAAGAAATAGCTCATTAATTTTAACACCTTCAAAACAAAACTGCTCTCTTACAGAATTTTTTTGTCCTTCCACCAGCATAGCTGATGCTAACATCCAGGAGAGTGAGTTGTACTTTTTCAATTAATGTTTTCTGCTGACATGAAGTGGAAAAGATTATTTTAATATTATTTAATTAGAAAACCTTTTAACTACTTTTAGGAATAAGATATATTATCGACACTACAGTAGAGCTTACAAATAATTTTTATACAGGCACCTCCACTAAATTTCTGTATTAATTTGTACTAATTAGGGGATGTTGTTATGAATTAAAAACTATATTTACTAATCATAAATGGAAAACCTTACTACAATTCAGCAAACCCCTGTATTTCAAAAGCAATTTTGAATTTTTCTTGTGTGTATAAACATGATGATTTTTTAAATCTGGATGCCCATTATCAGAAAATAAAAGCGGTAAATTTAAAGCCAAAGTATCTAGAATTCAGTAAAACATTTAGAATATTTTCTTATTTGATTCAAAGATTACTGGATAATTAAAAAAATCATATAAAAAAATGTGCTCACACATAAAGTAATTTTTACAAATATGTCCCCTGTAGAAAAAAATTAAATAAATTTCCCAGGTTGTCAATAGAGCTGTCAACACATCATAAAAACAAATTCCTGTTATAAAATTCTTTTCTGTGATATTAAAATTTGACAGTATGTAATAATATTTATTTCAAATCAGATTAATTAAACTTTAAATCAGCTCGTCTTCTTCAAATAACATTTCAGAAAAGTATATTTTACGTTGTTCTGAGTGAGAGAATTGTAAATGTAGCTTAAATCAGTGATTTAAAGAAACTCATTCCAATCAATTTAAATTAATTTAGAAATACACCAAGTATTTTAGCTTATTGAAAATATTTTAGTTTTAAATTCAAGCTGATAAGCAACTGAGTAAATGTAATATTAAAGGTTTTAAGAAAGATTTTTCACTTTTAAAAGTTCATTTTAAACCTAAGGTATCACTCAGTACCTACTTTAATATTCATTTGATTTAAATATGCCAAAAAATTGTCAAATTCTGTTAAATAGAAAATATTTTATGACATTGATGACTCAGCTCAGATGTGACAGTGGCACAAATTTGTGTTTAACATACATCTTCTTGTCTGAGTTGCTTCCATTTGCATGTATTTTTGTTTTTTAACCCTTGACAGATCCAATTGAAGGAACCTGACGGCAGAGTAAATAGACTTTATTAATCCTTCTTCCTCATGATCCTTTCAGATAGCTTGGCAGCGCCCATCTCACCTCCAAGCTCTGGACTGACACCTGAAGACCACAGAATATGGTGTGCGTCATGCTCAGTTCAAACACTGCCAGGTTTTGAATTCAGTGGTGTACTTCTAGACTGGTTGTCATCCAAGGTTCTAGGACCCTGTATGTTGAAATGGTGAACTGTAAAAATCAATATTTTCTTTTAGCAAACTAATTATTTTTTCATAAATTTATTTTCTTTTTTGATTACTTGAACACTCATTAAGTTAAATTTGTAAAACATTGTCACATCACATGAAATGTAAGAAGAAAAACTAAAATGCATTTTTACTTTTTTTAACTTTCTTCGAATTGTTTGAGTTTTAGCGAAAATGTTTATTGCATGCAAAGAAATTACATTTTCACTGAGAAAACAAAATTTTGTTTTTCATTGGAATTATCTGGTTACTGACAATATAGTCCTAGAATTGTTTCGTTCCAGACTTCTTTTTTTTTCAATATTTATTTTTTCAAAGAATCATTTGAAGTGGAAATACCTACCGCCACCTCAATACACAACTAATTATCCAATTTAAAAAACGTTTAGGATGGTATAAATAAATAATCATGAGAAAAATCTTTTTTGAAGAGACACTGCTTTAACAAAAGAAAATATATTCTCTTTTGCATAAAAGTTTTATTAAAATCCGATGATTAAATGAAGTTTGGAAGTATTTATGTTTTTACGACTTCTCTCTCTCTCTCAAAAAGAGGCAAATGATTTGTGACAGTGTTTCTTTTTGTTTATTCAAATCGAAGTAAAGTGAAAGTAAAGTAAACATTTTAAAACGCAAATATTTCGAATTCTATATTCTCAAATTTAAAAAAGTGTATAAATAATATTTATTTCAGATTTTAAAAAATTTCTCTTGGCTTTTGATTCGTAGAAAAGGAAAGACTATAAAATTAAGTATTTCATATCTTTTTCCGACCGAGAAAGAAACTGGAGTTACCCTCGAGAAACAAAAAAAAAACAACAAGTCATGATTGCCATCGTCGTGACATAGCACATTGTGAGAGATTGACAGGGTGGTATACTTAGACAGTAACTTTCCAACAAAATTCTGGTAAATGAAAAATTTTGTGGCAGGGAAAATATGTCATAAATCGACTTTTGAGTAAATTTGCTGTGTATACATGCCAAGAAAACTGGGAATTTTTTAGTTTTTAGTCACATACATTCATTGAAAGCGTTTCTAACTTTATTATTTGAAAGTTCACTGCATTTTTTTCCGATCATTTTTGTTGTTTCATTCATTTTGTATTTGGAAAGTTAATGAGTCTAACCAGGAGTTTTTATTCTTGTGGAAAGGTCAATAATTATTTCAATATTGTCGTAAGGAACCAAATCGTGTTTGACACCGGGGCCTTTTCTTTCGTCTTGCATTATCAAACGAATTATTTTCTTAAAAGACGAATTTCCCATTTATAACCTGTCCTTCCATTTCTTCATAATTTCCTTGTCATTTCTTTCAATTGCGACATTATTCTGCCAACTGAGTGAACAATACAAAATTCGTCAGGTTGATGGAGAAATCCCAACAAAATCATATTTTGAACACAAAGAAATCATCCTGTTTTTTTGTTTCTCTCATTGCATTTCCTGGTTTGAAAGGTAAGTGGAAGAAAACAAATTATTTTCAATTTTAAAAAAGGAAAAATCGTTATTTACCGAATTTTTCTATTTTTTGTGAGCATCATAAAAAGAAAACCTAAAAAATATATCCAGTTATGGTTTTCTTCTCAAATACTGGAACTGGACTAAATAAAACTTAGAAAACAGAAATTAATTTACTAGATTGGATTTTTATTCCATTTTTTAGTTTTATATTTATTTATTTTATTTTTAACTAAAAAGTATAGTCTCAAACGAGTATTTGTCATGTTGAAAAAACAAACAAAATAAAAATATTCGATATCGTAATTAAATTAATTAAAAGTTAAAACATCCGTTTTGTTTGTGTTAATTAAAAAAAAATGCCTAATTGAGAGTAATTTAAATACGAAAAATTATATTAAAAAAAATTCTATGCTTGATGGGGTGAAAAATTTTTTTTTTTTACTAGGTACAAAGAACTTTTCTGTACAGAAGGAAATGTATTTTGTTTTGTTTGATATTTCACTTTTTCTTTTCCTTTAATTTTTCTTTCTTCACAGTAATTAAATAAGTTATGTAAAAAAGCTTATGGAACAGAGAAAAAAGTTTTTTTTTTTTTTAGCTTGATGTAACAAACAAAGTAAATGAAGACAATTTCCGTTTTTCAGTATTTTTTTTTCTTTTTAGTTTATTATTAAAACGGAAAACCTAATAATCTATATGATCAATTCCGCCCTTAATTCACCATCCTTAGCCACTTGATTAGTTACAAAAAGAGAAAATGCCAACCGGGGATGAGATGACGTGTAAAAAAAAAAAAAAAAAAAATACAACCAAATATTTTCTCTCTCATCTTTCGTTTGCGCCAAGTCAATGTTTCACTTTACTTTTCCGTTTCCAGATTCTAACAGACAAAAGAAAATATTACAAGTTCCTCACTCTCGTATTAATTTGCAAAATTGAATTATTGAAATCGATTGAAAAACTATTATTCCCTTTCTTGGTAGAAATCAAATAGAGTACTTCCAAAAGTTCGCTGAAAAAGAGCATACCATGATGAAAAAAGACCCCAAATTTAATAAAAACAAAGTTTTCTCATCGAAATGTTTGTTATTAAGAGGAAAGACAACACTACAGTATTTTTTATTATTTTATTACATTTTTATTTTTACCCTTTCTACTTAAGTAAGTATCGCTAAAAAAGAGCATAGCATGATGAAAAAGACGCCAAACTTGACGAAAACAAAATTTTATCATCTAAATGTTCATGTTTAAGAGGAAAGATCAAAGTATTTTGGGGGCATTTTTTTACATTTTTAATCTTTCCGAGTACGTCCGAAATTTTCGTTAAAATCTTGTTTTTTTTTTTTTTTTTTTTTTTTTTTTTTTTGAGTCTGCAAAATTGACTGACAATCGATCATGGCGTCCATTCAAAACTTATTTTAAGAAAATCAGAAATTATAATGTTTATTTAAAATATTTTGAACCAAGGTTGACTTAGCTTCTGCGCCAAAAAGGGAAAATAAAACAAAGCAGGTCATAACCTTTCACGTCACTTGACAGGTGTTGAATGACGTATTGACGGATTACATGATCATAATTTGTTCTACGGAAGGCGAAAAGTGAAGTTATTTAGATTTAAGTGAACAAATTATTTACCTCGTTATTTTTAAGGAAAACTTTTAGCGCTCTAATTTTTTTTTTTTTACTTAGTTTTCACCTTTATGTTTACGATGCTTTACAGAAAATATATTATAAAGAAATTAAAATAAGACTGTTAAGAGTGAGATTAAATTTCATATTTCATAAGAAAGGTATCTAATTAATTTATAGGTACCTTTCTTATAAAATTATATCAGAAGTGTACATAAAATACTATAATTTTATGTACATTTATTACATTTTACTGTGTTATTTGTATTTCCATGCATTTTATTATTAATTTTGATATTTCTTTTATGGAAAAATGTTTTAACAGATTAATATAAAAATAAGATCATATAAATTTCATAAGATGATACTGATACTTGTAGGTACGCTTCTCAGTTGAAATTGAAAAATCAAATTAACTTCTCCACACGAGTTTCCCAAAAGTAAAGGCCTTAACAGTGGAGAACAATGCTTAACTCAAATAACACAACTTAATTCTATTCTTGTTGGTCTTCCGTACTTTATAATTACAGCCCAATTATAAACACAAAATTTTCTTAATTACTGCGGATCTTCTGATCAGCCAAAATGATACAATTTACAATGTGCTAAAAAAAGATCATAAGAACACTTAGGAAACCTGATGCAGCTTTTAACTAATTTTATAATATTTCAACAACTTAAATGTAAAAATCTGTTATAATTAAAGAAATAACAAATAATTGTATTAAAAATTCATTTTTCATCAAAAAATCTTTTGCTTTCAGAAAATATTGTCCATATTCATAAAAACAATTAAAAGCAAATAAAAGCATTTGAAATTAAATAATATCTTTGTTTTATTGAGTTTTGTATGTTACATTTCAGAGCTGATTTTCAGGTAGGTGGGATCCAATTAAAAATGAAAAAAAATATGATTTGCATTCTTCAAAGCCTTGTGCTTTTAACTATTGTAATCACTAAATCTGATGTGATCAAATTTCTAGCATTTTCATAAATTAGTTATGGGGGAGGGTAATAAATATAAAAAAAGTATTTCTACCATGACTTTAATAAAAAAAAAACATTTATAATAATTTCAATCATCTGTGAATAGTTTCTGAAAGTTTCCTTAACATTTTAATTATTTTTATTTTTGCAAGATTTTTCAAATTAATGTGTGTCATACAAAAAAAACATGCTAAAAATTGTATGTTATTTTACTAGTTCTGGTGATACAAAGAGAAACAAGGTTTTTTTAATCAAAATTTAGAATGTTCTAAAAAAAAAAAAAGGAAAAATTTTAAAAAATAATTAAAAAAAACTTTGGTCTTTCCTCTTATTAATAACATAAGCATTTAGATGATAAAATTTTGTTTTTGTCAAGTTTGGTGTCTTTTTCATCATGCTATGCTCTTTTTTTTTTAGTGATCTCATGGAGGTACCTACTTTAGAACGTTTGAAATTTTGGTTAAAAATTTTGTTTTACTTGCGTTACCATGTGAACAAAAAAAAAAAAGATTGGGAAATTTTGCGTTTTTTTTCTTCTTTGTTAAAAACGCTTTGTTTTTTCTTTAATTTAAATTTTTGCAAAAATCAAATAATTGTTGGATTCTAATAAAATTTGCAGGACTTATTCTCAAATAAATGAAATTCTCTTTGAAATTTTTTATTTTTTCAAAAATCTTGGTAATTTTCTTTTTTTTTTTTACATGTTACTCCCACTTAATTTTATGAAATTATAATTCTGCCCACTTCATATTAGTTTTTTTTCCTTTCTAGCAAAATTTTGCGTTTTTTTCATTTATAAAAATATGCTAGTAAAAAAAAAAAGAAGATTTCTGTGATATTTAAACCTAAAGCAACATTTTTATCAAAAAGAAAAAAAAAACTCTTCCCAGTCAATTTAAATTAGTTTTGAAAGAGAACAAAGTATTTTCCTTATTAGAAATATTAAATTTAAATCTATTAACTTAAAATTAAAACTAAAATAATAAAAAAGCTTCAAGAAGGTTTTTTCATTTATAAAAATTCATTTTATTTAAACCTGAAAAAAATCACAAATCATTTTTTAAAAAAATCTTTGTTCATTTCGATGTGATTCATTTTAATTTTATTTTGAAAAGAAATTTATCATTACTGAAAAAAACTATTTGTTTCTTAGTAGCTACCACTACCATGACATGTTCACTAAAAAACAAGCATACCATGACATGACAATGATTAGTATTAAGATGAAAGGCCAAAGGTTTTTTTGATTATTAAATTAGATTTTTGATATTTTTAAAACGTTTGAAATTTTGGTTAAAAATTGTGTTTTTCTTGCATCAGTGGGTGAACTATAATTACTGCAAGAAATTTTAGCATCTTTTTTTTCATTGAAAAACACAGTGATTTGGAAATTCATGTAAAAATCAAATAATTGTCAGATTTTAATGAAACCTTCAGAAATTATTCAGAAATGAATGAAAGCATTTTAGAAATTTCTCTTATAAAATCTTGATAACAAACATTGTTTTTATTACATTTGTAACCCCACTTATTTAATTTTATGTAATTTCAAGAAATTAATTTTGTACCACTTAATGTTTATGCACAGCTTCTTGGAGAATTTAAATCATCAATTGCTTTTTTAAAACAGGACTGCCAGTTATGAAAAATCTGCTAAAATAATAAAAATGCAATAAAACTATGACATTATTTAATTACAAAAGCTTTTAATTTTTATGAATAAGATGTATTATGTATTAAGAAAACATTTTTTTATTTGACAATTAATGAATTTTTACAAGAATTGTTTTCATTTTAAAGTTTTAATTAGAATAATTCATGATGTCTTAAATCTTTTAAATTTCTTTATGAATTTGTAGAGGTTGGATGATATTGTTTTTAACTAAAGCTATTTATCATAAATAGAAAATCTTATGACAATTCATCGAACTCCACCCTCCACCCCATTTTTGTGTGGGTGTGCATGTGTATGGATGTGTCAATTTTTGTAAATATGGATGACCATAATCAGAAAATAAGAGTGATAACTATAGTAAATTCAATAAAACATTAGATTATGGAGAATATTTTCCTAAATTTTTAAGCTTACTGAGTAGATAAAATTATGATAAAGGCACTCACCTATTTTATCTATATTGAAAGAAATAAAGAAAATTTACTTTTTTAGCTTGTTATGCAGATAGAACTTTCTGTACAGGACAAAGTTTTGTCAGCCAACTGTAGTGAAGTTGATCTGCATTAGCTGCTGCATTATTGCGTCTTTGTGCTAACCTAAATCAGCTTTATTATATAATTACATGTTTCTAGTATAGTATGGATTGATATATTTTCATATTCATTATCTCCGTTAATATATACTTTCTTGCTTTTCATTGGCAGATGTTTCAGCTGTACAAACCGTCATGATATTGAGAAAATTACTATTGTGGATTTAAAAGAAAGAAAACAAAATTAACCTCTTTCCATCAAGAACAGAGAAATATTTGCAATAGTCTTCATGTAAAAGATGTGCATCTACACTTTCCAGAGCTTCACAGTGAAAACTGAAATGTAAAAATAATGTACTTTGAAATCTGTCATTTGACATTACTAAAGAAACATAGTATTAGATATGAGTAAACATTGGAAATCTTTGTTGTGAAGTTAGATTTAGCATACTGAGAGGAAGTGTATTTTTCAGGAATGATAACTCTTTATTGATGGAACATAAACATACACACACTGGTAAGGAGAAGTCATCTTCAGAAGAGTCTGGAAGTGCATTTTCAGTCAAGTCACATATGTCTAGCAATATGCCTACACAAATGGGTGAGAAACCATATTCTTGTGAAGTTTGTGGATCAGGATTTTTATGGAAATCAGTACTGGTGCAGCATATGCGTAAACACACAGGTGAGAAACCATATTCTTGTGAAGTTTGCGAATCTTCATTTTCACACAAGTCAACATTAGTGAAACATATCCGTACACACACTGGAGAGAAACCATATTCTTGTGAAATATGTGGAGGTGCATTTTCACGCAAGTCAAGTTTGGTCTATCATATGAGTACGCATACAGGAGATAAACCATACCCGTGTGAAGTTTGTGGCACAGCGTTTTCACAGAAGTCATCTGTGATAAGCCATATGAGTACACACACTGGAGAGAAACCATATTCTTGTGAAGTTTGTGGATCTGCATTTTCATGGAAGTCAGGGTTGGTGCAGCATATGCATAAACACACAGGAGAAAAATCACATTCTTGTGAAATTTGTGGATCTACATTTTCACAGAAATCAAATTTGATTTCCCATATGCAAATACACACTGCAGAGAAACAATATTCTTGAGAACTCCATGCACACTGAAGAGATAAAATTTTCTTGTGAAATATGTGGATCTGCATTTTCATGGAAGTCACATTTAGTGTGCTACATGCATTAAGACACCGGAGAAAAACTTTATTCATGTGACATTTGTTGACCTGCTTTTTCAAGGAAGTCAAGTTGGGTTTGCTGTTTGCAAATCTAGACTAAATAAAAATCATATCATTGTGTAATTTGTGTATAGACATTTTCATGTTACTCATATTTAGCATACCATATGGGATAATACTTTGGAGAAAAACCATATTCTTTTAAAATCTATAATGCAATGTTTTCACATACTTCGAGTTGTCATGACTAAGCACTGGAGAGCAATCATATTTTTATGTTGTGTGAATTTTAATTTTCAAGGAATTCAGAACTGGAAAGGCATGTGAAACATTCCCTAGTTATAAATTTTAGACATGCGAATCAGTATTTTTCCCCAATTAGGATGCTAACATAAAAACTATATAATCTGGTTTATGCACCAGCTTTTTACTGAATATAAGTATAACAGACATCTGTGAAATCTCAAACTCAATTTAAGAATAAGCATTTTCATCAAAATTTGCATTGAAAATCCAAGAGATTTAATTTCATTCCACTTAGTCAAAAGTTTATGCATACAAATCCAGACAAGTCAGCATCTGAAAATTTAGTTTGCATTGTTTGATTGTGATTTAGCAATTAGTTTTGTATACATGAATGAAATAAATTCATCTTTCTTTTCAGTAATCACATAAATAAGAATTTTGATTACAGTCTTACAAATATAACATTAGGAACTGTAATTGTTGTTGTTGTTGCAATCCGCGATGTCTGATGAAACTTCCTGAACAAAACACAATGTTTTCTTGATATGCCTGGTGTAAAACTGCAATGACTGATAAACTCCTTCAATTTTCTCAGTAATCTTCTTCTGCGCCTCTGCTTTCTCCTTTATACAATTCTCCTTCCACGTTACAAAAGAGAGTCCATTTTTCTAACTCCCCAGATGCTGGCGTTCAGTGTTTTTATCTCCTTTTCTGCCTTCCTTCATTTGCATGCATGAATCCACTTTCCGTGGCTTTACGAGACTGTCCATGTGAGGATACTACAAGCTTGCTGGGGGCAGCCATATTTCTTTTTCTGTTCAAAAAGATAAACCTTGCACGCGGAACATATACGCTGCCATTTGCGATCAGGTGGGAGAATATTTTTGTTCCAATTATCACTACAGGAACATTCCTTTTCAGGGTCTTTAATAAAATATGTTTCCTTTTCTGTCATCTATGATATTGTTTTATTCAAGTCGTTTTCTGCATGTGAACAATTATGATTTAAAATAAGGTGAACATCTGCAGAGTCAATGTTATTTTTCTTTTAGTTTAATAGGTCATTTGATGAATACATTAATTTCCTCTCAAATATATGAGGGAAAAAAATGAACTTTATTTTGAAAAATTAGAGACTGTAACCTAAAGAGGGTCTTTCTAAAATGAAGTAAAATTCTGTTTCTAACTTAAATGTATATGTACATACATTTCTGACAATGTATATGCAAATATTTTTATTTATCCTGTCTCTGTTTGCTTTTTTTATTGCTGGTAATCTTGACTCTTTACATGATTGTAAGATCAGGTACAGAACACCCTCCCAATTTATATCTACTTTTTGTCATTAATATTCAAAGGCTAATTCAAGAGATTTTCTCTGGCCTTCCTATCCTCATTTATACTTTTGAAAATGATGTGACTTCCCTACACCACCACATTTATTTCAACCTCATCATTAAAATTCAATGATAGTAAACAATGTATGTTATGTGAATACATTTTACATCTAAAATTGTCATATGTATGTATGTATGTACATTTCTGATAATGTTAATGCAAATGTGTTTATTTGCTCTTGCTGCCTTTGAATTGTTTATTGCTAGTCATATTGAATTTTTAAATGATGGGAAGGTCAAGCATAGAACACTCTCCCCATTTTATATCTTGTATGCTTGACGTCACAATCACTGGGTAAAGCAAGCAATTTTCTCTATCTTCTCTACTCTATTTAACAACTCTTACCTCTTAGATTAATTGTAGCAGTTAAAATTTAGAAAATTGACTCCTCTTGCCACTGCATTCATTTGAATCCCATTTTGTGAATATATTTTAATTCTTAATGCAACGTTTTTTATTTGATCATCCACTTTATGCACTCTTTGGAAATTGCAAGACCCTCACTTCTGGATTCCACCCTTATTTCAGTGTCAAGAATATGATTTGTCTATGTCTACAAGTGAGCAAGTCAGGCCTTCTCTCTTCCATGATTGTGTATATCTGTATCTTTGTTGATTCAGTCATGTCCCCCATGTCAGTTATTTGTGGTCTCTAATGTCAACACTTTCTCATATGATCACCGAAGTTGAGCAACATCAAGCCTGGTCAGTACTGACTGCTTGGGAAATCACAAAACTTTTTAATTTTTATTTTTCTATGTACCAAGCAAAAACGGAATTTTCTGTATTTTTCTCTTTTTAATGGAAACCTTCATAAGAAAACCCATGCTTTACATGAGTTCACTTGCTGTTTTTCGCCTTTCAACTACCTTTAGCCCAATTTGATAAAGTTCTAGCTTCTGTCCAATTAGCATTATTTCATCCATGACTTTCTTCTCCTGATCTGCATCTCAAAGCAAATTGGGATACTTTCTAAGTCAACTAGGTATGCATAGGGAGTAATGGTGGCATCACTTCAGAGTGCATATTGGATTTTAGCAGAGACATGGTTACTTGTAATTATTAATCTAAATAAAGCTTGATCTTAGTTAAATCATTTCCCTGCCTCATTGGTGCATGTTAACTCATAGGATCAGTGATTTTTTTTTTTTTTCTTTTAATGGCATGCCAGACTTGTTTTATTGTGTGCAGTCTACATACACAGAAACAGCCAAGACATTGCAAGCTGATGTATTCTCTCGACCTTCATTGTTGAACATTGTTTACCTTGCCTTTCTCTTTCCTGAGTAACAAAATTTAGTCTATGAATTATTAATTACACCTAACTTTTAATATTATCCTTTACTATGTCCATAAATCATAATCCATGCAAATTCATCCCAAATGCATATGTTTGGTGCACATCTTACATATTTCTCGTGAATAGCTTTTTCATCAGTCTCCTTTTCATATTATCACAGATTGCCAAATTGCACCAATGATGTGTATTTTACTGAAGTTTCATCTGTAAACTCCTGCATTTTCTTTCAGTATAGTTGCAACTTACTCACCAGTCGTTGCTTCTGAATTCTTTCCCAAGAATCTTTTTGCTTTTTCATCCCTTTTGCCTTCTAAATACAGTCCGCATGAGAATAGGGAGTAGCAAGAAAATGATCTCTTTGGAGATTTCCAAGACCAGCAAATATCCCTGCCCTTATGGCAGGTTTCATGACAGAGATTCCAGAAGAAATGGCCCTCCCACAAAGTTATTAAAAAAAAAAGTGAAAAAGTAAATTTTCATTAACAATTTGAGAGATAAACTTATCAATCAATTGTACTTTGAACTAAATGTTTCTAAAATCATCTAGTTGAGATTATAAATACTTATGGAATAAGTTTTCATTTTACAGTTTACATATTTTAATTGGTATATGCTTTTAGTTTAGTATTAATTTTTTATATAAACCCATTAAAATATTAAGAATAAAACAATATGTCTTCTTGTTATCCATAGGTTACTCAGTTTATTTCTCCTCAATCAAATGATTTTTCAGATAATAGTCTTTACTTATTTTTTATTTTTTTTAAGCATTATTCCTCCTTTTCATTTTTGAAAAGGTAAAAAAAAGATATCAGCTATTTTAAATGCCAGGAGTTTTCTTTTTGGTGGGGGGAGAGTATCTTTTTAAACAGTAATCAATAATTCTGTGCGCTGTATAGAATTTGACTCTAAAAGACTTTAAAAAGAAAATGTTAAATTTTTTTTGTCACATAAATTTTAATAATTTCACTGAGGATGACTACAAAAACATTTCTGTGGAAAATAACCTTTGTAAAAAGCAAACTTTTTTTTTTTTTTTAAAAATTTAAATTAAAAAAAATAATTTTGGACAGTTTTAAATTAAACAAAGTATTTGCCTTTTGAATATAAAGAAGCTGAGAACATACAAGCAGGTAATGAAATGACTCATTAGGGATTTCCTTGTTCATGAATGGCTAACAAGTGAGTTGACAATATGACATGACACATGGTGGATTCTTGCATCATCTTAAGCTCTACTGTAAATAGTGCTGTACAATTATGCATTAGTAACAACTACTTTTTCATATATTTTCATTATAATCTGTCTTGAAACTATCTCCTTCTGTCTTAATTGTAAGTCTGATTGGTTCCATAACTTCAAATTGGCAGCTGATCTAAAAAATTATCTACAATCTGTCGTTAAGAAATAGCTTATTAAGTTTAATGTCTTCAAAATCAAACTGCTCTCTTTTAATCATCAGATCTCAACCCCTTTTGCCTGATTATATTGAATCAATTGCTAGGTCTGCTACTAAGAAAGTCATTTCAATATGTTGTGCTAGACAATTTTTCTCACCAGAATCTTGTCTTATACTTTAATTAGTCTTGTAAGCTCAGTAGAGAAATTGCATTTCTCCTTTAGGGGAAAACACTATGAAGCGTCATGACACACATACGCTCACATACAATCATCTACGAACATCCACTCTTTCAACCACAAGGACAGAAACACTTAACATTGTGAGTAACAAACTGTTTAATTCTCTTACAAGCAACAATACATCTTACTAAAGTAACAAAGTAACAATACATCTTACTAAAGTTCTCCAAACTTACACACTTTTTAATACGCTTCACAGTTTATCAACAAGAACATTTTCCTCACTCAAAATTCCAAAGATTGTGGCGGACATGAGACAGAACCTGGGACGAGCACAACTGGTTGCGACTTACCTTGTCCCTGCCAAAAAAGAGCTCGTATTTGCTTAGCATGTAAATCTACAGCAGTTGAAATGAGGGAGAAAAAAGCACTTACCGCTCTGCCGTAATCCGTCCTCGGCCAGATAACGTAAAAATATTTATTGCACAATGTACAAATGTGGCACAAGGCCGAGATGGGGAAAGGGGGAAAGGATGGTCATCTCCTGTCTTAACTTTAAACTTAGCTAGCCACAATCACTGACCCAAACATACAAACAATGTTCCTTTCACCAAAACAACACATCCATTACATACCATTCTTACTACATCCACCAAAATGCCTCAGAGTCTCTATGAAGTTCTAACTAGTCTCCATATATACAATACATGTGTCTGTGAGGGGAGGGGAATAAAATAACAATCTAAAAAAACCCCAATGCATATTTACAATGAATACAAAACTATATACAAGAAACTAAACAAAAATGTTGTTAGTAGTAAAACCCCCTACAGCCCTAACTGTGGCAGAGACATCAGTTAACTGGACGAAAACAATTCGGGACTTAAAAAAGTTAAAATAAAACATTCATACCATCCATGCACTCACTACAAACACACACTCAATCAAACACAACAACAAATACGAAAGACAGACTCGAAACGAAAGGCGCCCCGCACCCACCAGAGAACTGATATCACTAACCACCTAACGATGGGAGGGATGGGGAATTAAACAAAAAGAAGAAAAATAAGGCCAGAAATAAAAAGGGGCCAATGAGCATACACACCCTAGCTAAGTTAACATGGAAAAAAAAAAAGAAAAACTAACTAAAACAAAACGGACCTAAACTAACCTATACAAGGGAGGGGTAGCCAATGTTCACACCAGCGATCCCAAAATTCTTAATGCCTAACCGGCATCAAAATGCCACTCCAAGTCAGCACCTTTCACTCTGCAGAGACGCGCAAGACTCACCCACCTTTCGCCAAATTCCAATGGATGGAGTCGTCTCCTTTCCGTCCTGATCTTGACTTTAAGCTGATGCTTAAAGAACAAGATCAATTGGGAAGAG